TAAAATTAAGTAGATGAAAAATAAATTAATTATTATATTTTCATTTTATTAAAAAAATTTAAGCCTCCTAAATTTAAAAGAGGGCTTATTTAATTGAAAGTTGAAACCCATAGAAAAACATAATACCGCGTTCTCTTTTTACATTTTGACTCGAAAACAGGAAATCCTTCTTTAACTTTTATTTATTTATTTATTTTTTTTGTTTAAATCCCTATTTAACTCTTTGACTTGTAAAAAACCCAATTCACATCAATTTCTCTGAATAATTATCCTGGACAAAATCGAAAAAACATACCCACAAAAATAGTCTTCATCTTCTTCGCCAGCCAAAAAGACAGCGCATGCTTAATCAGTCATTAAGGTATACCCACAAAAGCCAACAAAATAACAGGATTGCCATCGACAGCAAAACAATAATTAAAAAAACCAAAACCGCACTTTCTTTCCACCTCCCCTTGAAAGTTGAGAAGTATCAGAGTAGTGCATGCTTAGTGCAACGGGAAGTGGTTTTTAAGTTTAAAAGTTCCAACCACACCGAATACTTAATCCTTTGGAATTGGCCTGAGCCCTTGAGAAGTTAATCTCAGTTTCCACCTTTCCAAAATAAAAGAAGCAAGAAATTGGAGCTTTTACGCGTGCTTCTGGCTTTATTTTAATGAGATTAGCCAATTGTACCCATTGTACCCTCATATTTTAACAAATTTACTGTTAAATCACTATCCAGTATCCACAGCGTTAAAGATAAGAAATCCCCCATTTTGCATCTTCGTCTATTGATTTCTCCTCTCACCCCATCTTCCATCTGCCGCCCTTCTCACCAGCTCCCGATCTTCACTTTTCCGACATCCTCATCTACCGATTGCTCCTCTTTTTTCTGATCCCTAATTTTGCATCTCCCTCTGCCGATCGCTCCTCTCTACCCATCACCTGATCTGGATCTTCACTTTTCTGACATCCTCATCCTCCTCATCCCAGATCCGGCAGAGTAGCCTCCAGTCTTCAACGGGTAAGCTCCCTTTTCTCAAACTTTAATCTTCTAGATTGTGGGTTTATTACTGCATCTTTTTTTTCCCTTTTTGATTTCTATAAAGCATGCTTTTTGCTTCACCTTAACCTCTTCGGCCACGCCTCTTCTTCCACTTGTTGAGCTGATGCTGAAAAGGATAAAACAAGGAAATCGTCTGCGTTTCAAGATTTTTTTTCTTAAGCTCTGTTTCATTTCTCTGTGTCAAACTCATATTTTGCAGAATTCCTGAGTAGAAGAAGAAGACAAAACAGGTACTTCTTTTTTTTCTTTTTTTTTTTTTCCTTAGAGTAAGCAAGTATAAACACTGTTGTCGGTTTTGTTTTTTTTTTTTTTTTTTTGGCTTATTCTGGTAAAGGCATTGTCTTAACCTGAAATATGATGCTTTTCAATGCTTTTAAGGATTATGAAAACAATGGAGCAACAATCAATAAATTCCAATACTAAATCCTTGTAAAAATAACTTCGAATTTAAAAAAGATATTGTATTGGGAAGGGAGTTGATTCATCATCTACATTCAAAGGTTTTTTTTTTCCCTTAACTAGTTAGGAGTTTTCCATAAACAAGGGGGGGTTAGCAAGGAGTTTATTCATCTCCTACATGCAAAAGTTTCATACACCTTTACGGTTAGCAAGATTGGACCTTTTTTTTATGTACGAATACAATGAGGATCAAGAAGACTCAACTTTGGGCTATAAGCTCAATATAAATTATATAATCATTTTGAGATTTCTAGATTTCCCCTGC